AATTGTACGTCGCTAAATTGACAAGATTGTCCTGTACTGAGTTTCGATTTACAAGATCAACAGGATGTATGAAACTTCTGCCGCACTGAAATTGGATCCTCCAGCCCACAGTTAACATTAATGACTTACGTTTTAAGTGGTTATATGTGTGACCCTGATCTTAGTAGATTTGCTTGCTTCTCAATGTATGGCATGTGTTAGCTGGGGTCTTGAGACCAGACCATGCGTTGATGGATCCAGTGCCTTTTGGCTGTATTTTGCAACTTTTTCTGTTCTGTTATTTCAAAACAGAAGTGTCATCCCTTTTGTCTCCACTTTTGGTGCAAGTGCTCTCTTTTCATGCACTGCAAACCGAAGAGCTGCTTGTGACTCTTGCAGCCACCTGCTTCTATGGCATGATAAGATAGTGGCAGGCTGTCTTGCCATATATGAGAAACTGAATTATAAGAGTGGTAAGGCAGCCTTCTATGCCAAGCTCAAGTATTGGTTTAATTATTGGAAATTAATGTTTGTGTGGTTTATACGACATATTGTAAAGTTGATATTTATCATAGACTTTAGTAGTTTTTGGACTGGTGTGGCAGTGCAGTACAGCGCTGCCGCAATGGATGGGGAAAACATGAAGCAATGAATAATTTGGGCTGCGGGTGTTCTGCTCTTCCCTTTTTCAGTCCTCCCTCCTCCAGGCCTGTTTTCTGCTCCCTTGGAATATAGTCAGTGTTTCAGATTTTGTCCAATTAACAGGTATATTACTGATTTAACAGAACAGAAATGGGAAAATAATAATAATTTTCATTCATGGTAAAAGCTATGGCTACAACACATTCTCCCCATTGTGAGAAGAGGTAGCTTTGCAAGTCGCACTCCCTGTCCCCGTGTTCTGTACTGCTCATTGCTCAAACTGGTGCTTTTATTTTAGCAGAACACACTGAAGTCATATGATAAGTTTGCTGATTAAAAGATTTCTCAAACAGCTTGCAGAACATGAAAACACTCATAAGGTAGTTCAAAATTCTCGAACCTCACAGTGTTTGAAACTATCCTCAGCAATGCACAGGACTTAAAATAGGGGGTATACATTAATCATAGTAAGAACAATTAATAAAATGCAGATTGTAACAACAATGATTTAAAGATGAAGCCACATGATGAATGTCAAGAGAGAGAATCCCATAAATGTCAATCTGCCTTCAGCAAATTGGAAAACATTTACATTGCAATATGGTGACCTTAAATTATGGGCGCTACCCAATGCGATGGCCATGGTTGGACTGTTACTAATAGTTTCAGTGGTCATGCTTTGTTTCGCATGCAAACCATACCACAATCTGCTTGGAAACTATGGCTTAAAAGCTTGGTAAGCAATTACACATTCATTTATTTGTAGTCAAATATTCTCAGTACAGACAGCTATGTTCATAAATATTGCACTGATATGCATTTTTCTTGGCTAGGTAATACTTCTGTCCAGCATATTTTTTTATTCACATAAGGCAAAACCAGAAACATAGTCACAATGAATTTGCCCAAAACCAGGGTTTATTTTAAAGATAAATGTTGATCTTACAATTTAGTATTCTAGAGAAAGCAAAGAGAATTTATTGTTTATTTTTAGTTACTGTGGTGTATAAAGTAGTTTATGTCATTAATTTTTCCTCCGGAAAAACTGAATCAATTTCTGTCCTGGGTTACAAGAATGAAAAAGGACTAATTTGAAACATTTAAATACACCCCACCTTCTGTTTATTAAAAATGATTTAGCTTTGGTTCAGTTGCTATTGAAATAAAATCAAGAAAATATATTTTTCAAACAATTTTAAGCAAAAAGCCTGGATTGTGCTTTTTAGAACACAATGGGTTAGAGAAATTCTCAGTATGAGTAGTATAAATGTAGTGCTAGTGGGAGCTTAGCAGTGAGAATTACTGTTACTTGGTGTGAAGTTAGCACTGCTAAATAAAACAAATCTGCTATAGACAGCAATTCCAGCTCTCTTGCCACTTCACATCTCTATGTTCTTTGACTGACTTAATAAAAAGTAAGAGCAAGGCTAGGAAGCCCTGATGGGAAGCCTTTAGTGTAATGCAGCAACATCACCGGCATACGCATTTGCTTGGAACTGATGTGAAATATACAGCACCAAACAGTGGCTTGGGTTAGTAAGGGACATGGCTCTTTTTGAGCTGAAAGATCTTGCATGGTTCAGCTGCTAAACCTTTGGCAGATATTTGTTCTCTGTTTTTCCCTCTTCATCATGCTCTCAAAAATAAAACGTCCTTTTAGACTTTGTATCTCCTTTTCAAAACTATGAACGCCAGTTAATTCCTGTTTAGAGCTATTTTGTGACTGTTTGCTTCCCTCTAAATTAAGGGGCTTTCATTGCTTTCTTCTTGGAAGATCAGAGCATAGACAGCAGGAAAAAAAATACAAAGTTGAATTTGCTAAGCTAAAGTCCATAGTTCTGCAACTGTTAGGAAAAATGAAGACTGAAATCCTCCAACGATTTTAATGGCACAGATCAGGATGAGCTGGTGTAAGAAGAAGCCCAGTTTAAATAACTTAATTGTCCATTACTTATTTAGATAGTTACTGAACATGCATACTAATGGGTGACTACAACTGTGTAAGCATGAATTTGTTAGAGTAATCATTTTAAGCCACCTTCAGAGATCAGATAGTCACTAAACATAAAATAGGCATAAAAAGTCATCCATATGGATGAATTGATGACCACTGTGGGGACTTTTCATGTCCTTACTTCTAGTATTCATGCCCAGCAGCTGGGAGTGTTCCTAAAACGGCCATTCTGATGCCTGAGTCAGGCATTATGGTGGGCACTCTATTTGCCACAGAAGAAAAACAGTTGGCATGGCTCTCCAGAGTGTTCATTGGGCCCAAAGGCATTCCTGCGGTGTGCGGTAACCCTGGGGAACACCTGTGCCATGGTGGCAGCAGCTGTCTGAAGAAACCTATTTCTTTATCAAATTTCATATCTAACCTAGGAAGATATTGAGGAAAATTGCACTATTTAGAAGCTGAACTGAAAGCAAATCAATCTCTCTCTCTCTCTCTCTCGCTCTCGCTCTCGCTCTCGCTCTCGCTCTCGCTCTCTCTCTTTACTGGAAACTGAAGTATTATCATTTTTCTTGAGCTGCAGTTGTTCGAGACACACATAATCTAACAGATAATGTTTCGTTGACTTTGTCTTGTTTCTAATCTAGACATTTCTGGTTTTCTCGGGACCTGTCCAGGAGTCCTACACATCACAATTCACTTATGAGCTGAATTCCATTATTGTTTTCCAGGCACAGGCTAAATTCAGAAAACATTGGCATATAATACATACAGGTGAAAAGCTGAGGTCTTGGGGCTGTAAGAACTATTTTCCTTATGTAAAATCTAATATTCAGTATTTCTCCATTCTTGCTATCCAAGAATGGATTTTCCACTGCTGTGCAGCTTGCTCCCACTTGCTGTTTTGGTGCATTGTGTTCCTTTCAGTCATTTTGAGCCCCTAAGGGCAAATGGTGAGCAAAATAGATAAAAGTTATGGCCACAAACTCTTACACTGTCTGGATATAAAATTCAATTTTTTAAATTATATTTATGCCCCACCTTTTTCCTGTAAGGGTTCCAAGGGAACCTACGTAATTTTCTTTTTTCAGATCCTTTTAAGGCCATTCCTTTAAAATGTGTTCTGGAGCTAAACTGCAGGAGCCCTCTAATAACCTATTATGGAAAAGATTTTCTAGATCAGCAATGCATTTTTCAGTTGTAGGGATGTTTTGAGGATTTAACTAGGGTTGCTTGATGCAAGCTTCTAGCAGAGATTTTTGTCCTAAATGTGACTCCAGTTAAGATAAATGCAACTCTCTAAACCTTGGCTGGCCCGCGCTTTACTTTACTTTTGCCCAGCATGCAGTAGAGTTTGCATAGTTCCTCATATTGTCTCTGGGTGCAATATGTGTAATGTTGCTGAATCCATCTTTTCAGAAGGTCCTCTTGCTTATCTAACTGTGCTTTAAATCAATATCCTGTACTAAGTACTTTCATAGAGACAGATGCACTTGGTGGAAATTTGGTGGCCGTTAATGCCGCAGTATCACTGTGTGAAATATCAGGGTTGGGACTCTTTGGGTGGTTAGCACCCAAATAGTCCCAGCACTGAGGCTGATCTTTGGTCCGAAGTCGAACTTTGGCCTCTGGAAGGTTCTGTGTTGCCTCAGAGTTTTGGCAAGGGTCGTGCCAGGAGGGAGGATGGACAGGAGAATTGTTTCCTGTTGCCCATGTTCTCCTACCAAATTAGTTGCTGCCAAGAAACTAACTTAAGTGTGCAATAATTTTTCTGTGATACAGCAGTGCAGACTGTTATACGTAACTTTATACCATGGAAGTTTTGATAATCAGCTTTGCAAGACCATGTAGCCTTGTAATCAGAAATTCAAGATATTAATAATTGAGCGTTGGAAACTCTGGTCGCAACATCATTATCTCACAAATTGTGTGTTGAGTTAATATCTGTTATGATTCCAAGGAAGTCTGTCAGGCAATGTGTCCATAATGGTTTTTATAATAACAATATTGATGATGATGATGTCTCAACCTTCTGTTCGAAAGCTAAGTTGTTGTAGTGATTCATTATGCTAATACAGTCTGAGATGATCACACAGTCTTACAACTGTAACAATTTGTTAATATTCCTTGAATAATGGGTACTTCAAATATGAGGTATCTTGGAAACCTAGCAAACTTTTGTTTAGTACAGTTTAGTTGCCTGTACTAAATGCTTCTGGTAAATGTGCAATATTTATAATATTGGGTACTGGGAATAAATGTAATGGTATCTAACTTAAATCCCTTGGTTTTTTATGTTAGCCTTAAGGGATAAAAGGATTTTAATTGCTGTTCGATTTCAGACAGGCTGATCAAAGTGACTTAATTTGCTTCCACTGACATATGTAACTATCCCTCTTTTTTTTTTTTTTTTTTTTTTTTTGGGCAGGCTTTCAAAGAGATGCTGTATGCAGCTCAGGACCAGGCCCCTTCAATAGAAGGTAAGCAAGCTATACTTCTTCCCATAGTAGTTTGAAACAAAGCTATTTCATCCCATTGGTTTAAAAAGCCAGAGGATATATTGCATCTATGTACAGTGGTACCTCGGCTCATTAATGCCTTGGTTCATGACCAAATCGGGTCGTGAACAAAAATTTCATGAAAATGTTGACGTTTTCATTTTTTGACATTTTGACATTTTTATCAAACTGTCCACCACAATCCCAGAATCTCTTTCCTGGTCAATCCTGTCAATGTATCTGAAGTTGGTTTGGTTTTTCTTCTTTTCTGTTCCACAGTGCATTGCTCTGCTCTTGCTTATGTTGAACTGTATTAGCTGCTTTGCTGCTCATTCTTGTAGTTTGAAGAGGTTTTCTTAGAGTCCCTTGCAATTCCCCCCTCTTTTTAAAAAAAGAACCCTAAATAATTCAGTGTCATCAGCAAACCTGGCCATCTCACTGCTTGCTCTCAATTCCAGATCATTTACTCTGTCAACTTCTTATAAGGGGGAGCACTCAATGAAGTCTTGCTTTTCTTGGAACAGCACTTCCTTAGACATAAATTTGATAATGTTGAACCGGGTCTGGTACTTTGTGTTTCTTTTCTGGATTTTTAAAAGGGATTTTCCCTAGGGCAGCATGCAATTTAAGATTTTTTTTTTTAAGCTTGTGCATTCATTTCTATGTAAGTCAATGAGTTCTGTATTGAAGTAGGGTTGTAACTGCAACACTACTCTTTGGGCAAGAAGGCAAATATATCTTAATACTTTAAGAGCATTTCAGAACTGCAGTTTTGTTCTGAGGCCAAGAACTGCAAGGTCCCTAGTTTTACAATGAAATTAGAAGCAGGTTCAAGACATGCACTGCTTTTTAATTTGGTTACTCTCAAAGTTTTCTGCTTCTGTTTCCTCTGTCAGTTTAGACTAAGAAATGTATTGATTGTTTACTAAGTGCATTTATTTATCGAGCTTGCTACAGCAGAGGGAATGAAATCCCAACCTTGCAAAGCAAATTGTGCGTTGCTCTTCTGCCCCCTCAGTCAGACAGGTTGCTGGACTGGCTGGCAGATGTGCCTCTATCTCCCCAAGCTCCTTGGAATTCAGTTCTTCTCAGTAGCAATGAAGTTTAAGGCATGTCTGTAAATTATTCATTCTGATTATCTGCCTGAATGGCCTGAGTCCACCCTTGATGTTTTCCCCAAGATCTTTGTTGTTCTAAAGAGGCTGTGTTGAATGCCTTGAAAAGAGCACAAGAGGAGGGAAAACAATATCACACTTGTCCTGTGGATTGTTTTGCTATATTTACTGTGTCTCCCCAGTTCCCCATGCAATCAGCAGTCTTAGTCTCAAGTACTTTTTCTGTTCAATTAATGTATAATTGTCTGCTTTAAATTGATTTTTTTTCTTAAAGATCTTAATTTTTTTAGATATGGATGACTGTCTTCCAGAAAGGACTTATTTAACCAATGTGTGAATGTTGGCAAAACAACTGAAAGGAAATGGGGCCCCTAAAGGCAGATTCAGGATTGTACTGAGAAGAGAAGTGATATATGTGAAGGTTGTCTGAGTAACTGTGCTAGAGGGCATATATTTTTGATTATGTTGACATTTCTGTTTGCAGTGGCTGTTCCGCTCACTGTGCAGTGCGCTCTTGATCAGGCCGGAGAGGTAATATGTGAAACCAGCCTTGTAAATAAGCCCACAAAAATACTAGATTGGTGTAGGAAAGGCACTCCCCCAGAAGGCTTTAGTTGGTGCATTTACTCTCTTTCATTCATGGACTTTGCAGGGGCTCCAGACATAGTCTTTTGTTTATAACCCTACTCTGTTTTCTCATTGCTTCTTCCATCCCTTATCTTATCGGCAACATTCTTTTAAGGGGGAAAAAACCGAATCACTGCACAGTGCCCTTGGATTGATAGTGCTTGGAGCCTCCCAAATGGAAGCTCAGTGTGAGGCCAGGAGTCTGCATTTCCATGGTGGTGGCAGAGAGCACTTCCTTTCCTCCGTGGCCAGCATAGAAACCGGAGATGGAAGCCTCTTAGCAGGACAGTTAAAAAAAACCCTTGCAAGTAATTGGTGGAGGAGGGATGGAATGACCTGACCTTTCTTTGCCGGACTGGTCAATGGCATGGAATTTTGTCACTTACAGCTGCCAGGCGACTTGTTAATGTTGCACATTACTGACTTGAATGGGTTTGCACAGTAGTGATGGCTTTCTTTTAGGCTTGGTTTTAGGCTGATTTTTTAAAAGCCATTTTGTCCTCCTTGCAAGATTCTTACATACAGTAGACCGAACCTGCTGTTGCTTTTACCTTCCTGATATTGCTTCTGTGTAGGTAATTAATGGTACTATTTTGCTTTTTTCGGTGAGTTCTTGTGGCCATTTCTCTGTGGTAAGATTCTTAGCATAAAGCAGCTGTTTTAGGAAGAGATTTGACAAGGGACATTATGCCTGCAATTAAAGTGAGTGGGAGAGAATGTAAATTCCTGCTTTTCAGTACAGAAGTATCTGTGATTGCCACTTTTCTCTGCCTGTCTCTCTTGCTGTGCTTCCTACTAGTTGGATTTGGATGTAATGTCATGACGTGCATAGTTTGGTATTAAGTGAAGCAGTATCCTCAGGCTTCTCCACTTCTTCCAAAAAAGACTTCTTGTTTCTTGGCAAATGGTGTGATCCAAGCTTGTAGCAAGCTGTCATTTGAGGAAACCATAGTTCATTGTAGCATCTTTCAGGCAATCATTGCTGAACGTGTTTGAGCTTCAGTACTGTATGTTTATGCGATGTCAACATGTCTTGACATTTCATTTTTTAAGAGTTGGGTTTTTTCATAGCCTGCTCCATTTCCTTAGTGCACACCACTTGTGCTCATTCATGAAACAGAAACAGAGCTTCCCAGGAACGAAGACTTCAATGGATGCTTTTGCTGCTGTAGTCTAGACCGCTGTATTTGGTTTTACTGCTTCAGCAGGTCTTTTGCAGACCTATCTTGAGTGCCTACCTCTAAAGGTAACTCTTCTGCTTAGACCAGGGTTCTCCAAAGGAGCACTTATATGGCCAGGCTAAGGCATCTTCCATGCACTTTCCCCCCTCTGTGGTTGAAAGAAAGAAACAGTTCCTGCATGCCATTATATAAATCTTTCCTGAAAAAGGGCTGGAGGAAAGCAAAGTTTGGTAGGGAGACTTTTCCTTTTGTATTCAAGCCAATGGGGCCATTGGCCCATTAACTTTAAATAAGGAGGAGGAAAAAAAATCTCTCAGCTGAAAAAAAGTTTTAGGGAAAGAAAGTCCATTCCTCACTAGGGTCTTTGACCCAGTAACCTAGGACCCCATCAGCTGTTCTGGGCAGTTTTTCTTGTCTCATGCAATTGGACAGAGAAATTGCTTCATTCATTTCTATGAGGATGGGGAGAGAAAAAGAAACAGGAGGCAGTGAGAGAGAGAAGAGGAAGAGAAGGAGAGAATGAAAAAAGGGAGAAGCAAGAAAAAATTGTTAAAGAACTCTGAGAGAGAATAGACATAATTCAGAGAGATGGAGGTAGGCAGGGAGGATGAGGGTGGATGGGTAGGGATGTGGAGAGGGAGACAAGATGAACCAGGAGCAGAGGAGCAGTGAGTGAAAAGAGAGGAGCTAAAATGAGTATCAAATATAGGGCGCCAATTCATGTGCAACCCAAGGTAGGGGCATACCTCCAACATTTTCATGATTGCCCCCTACCCACTTTTGAGGCCTGGCAACTATTTAGAATGGGCAGACAAAATGAGCTATGCAGAAGAACTTCACAAAGCTGGCATGTTGGGATTCTGCCTTGAGGCATGGGCATTGTAGCCCTGTATCAGGGTAGGTTAAGGCCCAGGTTAGGGTTTGAACCCCCCTGGCCAAGCTGTTTGATAGTTGAATTGTGTTTTGATGGGCAGGCAGAGTGAGCTGTGCAGAAAAACATCCAGAACCTTCATGTTGAGATTCTGCTTTTAGGCAATGGTAGTTTAGCCCTAAATTAGGGTTATGGTTTAGGCCCAGGTTTAGGTTAGGATTGGAAAAGCAATTTCCCTCTGAGGTTTCTGGGGCTTGGATCCTGCAGTAGCCAAATTGTGTTTCCAAAGCACTCTTTCAAAATGGCAAAAGTTGTTTGTGGGTCTTAATAAGTTGAAGTGTTTTGGCTTAGATGTATATGGAATCTCTAGTATATTGTTAGCTAATCTGGGGCCCTCCAGATACTTTGAACATGAGTTTTCATCAGCTTTTGCCAATGGATAAGAATGTCAGGTATAGTAAAAACAAAACAACTGGGGAAGGTTGGGCAACTTTCCTCCATTGGCAGCAAGCAGGTTATTTCCAGCCAAGCTTGCACACATCTTTTGTCTATTCCTAAACACAGTGTGTTACACTGTGTGAGATTTCGAGCCTTTGAACACTGCCTGGTGCATTCTGGTAGGCTCGGTGTACTTTTCTCAAGTGATGCTCAGGCAGCTCATCTCAGCCAGGAAGCAGACAGGGTGTGGGATACTCAAGAGGGCTTGTGACTGCTCCCTTTCTCAAGTGTGGGCACAGAACCTGTTATGCCAGGCTAATTGAACTTGGCAGAGTGTCCATTCTCCCCTCATCATGGCCAGGCACTGGGCAACGTTTCGACAGAGATGAAGCAAAGGTATTTGACCTGAAAGATATGCTGGTGATTTCAGGCCTCTTCATCATGCAGCTTCAAGTAAGGCAATAGATGGAATCCTTTGGAAGTCCACATGGAAGTTTCCTAAGGCAGGGGTCGGCAACCTTTAACACTCAAAGAGCCATTTAGACCTGTTTCCCACAGAAAAGAAAACACCAGGAGCTGCAAAACTCTTTCGACCTCTAAAATGAAAATAACACTGCATATATCATTTTTTACCTTTATGCTATGTATAAAAAAAACTATAGTGTGTCACATTTATGAAACAGATCGGGGGCTGTGCCGTGCCGGCGCGGGTCGCAGATCAGCAGCTGTGCCAGCACGTATAGCAGATTG